TTCTTTCTTTCTTTCTTTCTTTCTTTCTTTCTTTCTTTCTTTCTTTCTTTCTTTCTTTCTCTCTCTCTCTCTCTCTCTCTCTCTCTCTCTTTCTTTTCTCCCCTTCCCCTTCCCCTTCCCCCCTTCCTTCCCCCCTTCCTTCCTTCCTTCCTTCCTTCCTTCCTGGGCTCAAAGTATGTAACATGGTAAACAAATTCTTTTGCTTAGTAATTATATGATAGATAGAAGTCTGCCAATACTTTAAAACATCTATCCTACCTCTTGTTAACACTAATTTTATAATCTTGTTTTCATTTTTATTGTAACTTGTATTGTAACTGAATGTGTTACAAGATTCACATTTACAGATCTGGAATAAATAGATGGAGTTTATGCAATATATTTGGATAAGTCAGTCTCTGAACAGTGGAAAAAATATTTAATATTGTTTAAATGTGTGCATTTTTAAAGAAGCTGAATAGCTCCTTTTTCATAGCACAAAAGATAATTATTTACTGGGGTTACTTAGAATGTATAATCAGGCTATTGAAGTAGTGGATAGCTTCTGCCTTTTAGGATTGACCATTAACAGTAAAGAAACCAGCAGACAAAAAACATGTGACAGACTAGGCCTTGGAAAATATATTCAGATATCATGATGTATGTCAACTTTACCTGGTAGACCAGACAGGAAACACAACCAAGTAAGGTAATTCTACTTTACTGTAAAGCTACATTAACAGAATCCTGCAAGTCTGAAAGTACAATTCTCCTGCCATCTCCTTTACAGCCCAAGAAACTAAGGAGGGTCCCTTCTGACCCTCTTGCCCTGCCCACTATCCATCTGCCTGTTGCGCTGTCTCCTATCTGACTGTTTGCTAGGCAGCATCTCTTCACTCTGTCTCCCAAGGTGTTTCCCACATACCATTACAATGTATCTATACCTACAAAGATTAGAATCGTGCATGCGATGGGTTTCCTTGTGTGACACTCTATGGAAGCAAAATTTAGATTTGAACAAGCAAGATAGAAAAAATATTGATGCTTTTGAACTTTGATGTTAGATAAGACTCCTGGTAATATAATGGAGAGCCAAAAAAACAAACAGCCTGGTTGTGCCTTGAGTGAGAACTCTGTGTTGATTTGTTATATAAACACACTCACTCAAGGCACAACCAGGCTCAAGCTATTATATTTTGTGCACTACATGAAGACCTAGCTCTTTTTACAAGTCTGTAATGTTGGGAAAGATGGTAGGGGAAAAAAAAAAGAGGATGATCAACAAGAAGTGGATGGACTCAATTACAGTGGTGATGGATACGCCATGGAGAATCTGAAAGGTGAGGACAGATCATCCTGGAGAAAATCTGTCTATAAGGTTGCTAAGAGTCAACATCAACTTGATGGCACATGATTATCGTAAATCAATTCCCTATAAATCTAAGACTGGAGTCTTTTGAGTAGAAGACTTTGTATAAATCTAGTAAAACTAATCACTTTTTTTTTCTTTTAACACCAGACCACTATCAAGTCATAGTTTATTTCTAAATGCCATCATATTTTCATAAAACTAAAATGTTCTATGTGACATTCTGCAACTGGTATTCAGGAAAATGCCACATGTCTACAAACATTTATGGAATTAATATTATAGCCATTTGGAAATAAATTTTTACATTTTCCAAAATTTGAATATTAAAGTCTTGGTAAATTCATTGTTTAAAATATTTCAATAAAATACACACTTATCTAGGAATAAGATAATTGCATTCAATGGGTATAGACGTGCATAAAATTGTGCTGTAGGTTTTATTTTGCTGATCTGAGCTGATTCACTAAATTCTATATGAATTCTCTCCAATGAAAGAATGTGCTGCAGAATAGTATCAAACCTTTTATGAATTTAATAGAAATGTGCATCATGCAATACATGTGAATTTGAATAGCAATAATAATAAATTATTTTCAGAAAATAAAAAGGACAATGGAACTGTAGTGGACACAGCACTTTCAGTTTAAGTTGTTCCAGAACACTTGCCTCTCAGAAAGACAAATAATAAAAAAGCTAAATGATGTGCAGTTCAATAATCTATTATTTTCAAGAAATCTAATAGCATACTGCAAGGAAAGTGGTATATTCCAGAATGTATTGGAGGGTATGCCAACTGTTATTACAGCCAACAATTCACTTTTCAAAAGTCTTTTTTCAATAAACTACTGTCTTTTTTATAAAAGCTCCTAAATGCATAACATACAAAGATTAAACACTGTAATAACTTTGATCCTTCAGAAAACTTTCCGTTCAGATGTAGATGCCAATTCTGTATTACTATTTGTCTATTATGCAGCAACCAGCATATCTAATATCATCTGTGAAGGAAGTGGAATTGCTTGATTTTGGTATCATGTTCTTCAATTTGTACTGAGCTTTCTAAGACCTATTTCTCATTGTTTTATATTTTCTTTTGAGTCCAGTAATTCTAAGTAATTACTTTAGTAATTTTAAGTAAGAGTCCTCTGTAGGATATTTATATTCTGAATTGCACACATTTTGCACATACTATTGCTTGTATATTTTCGATGTTGACAACATACATAGCTCTGAGAAAACTGACAAAAGCAACGTATTTATAAAATTTCAAAACTTTAAAAAATACTTCAACTTCCATTTGAAATAAACATTAAACATCCTTATAGATAAAAATGAGAAATTTGTGACAAATCTAATGAAAATTATAATCGACCGTTATAACATGGGCAATACCATTAAATGCCTATCAAAGCAACAAACATCTAAAAAATGATTAAATGGAGCAACATTTTTCAATGAACATTGGACTAGATAAAGTCAATTATTATTTAAATTGGATTTAAATATAAACATAATTGGGTATCTTTTTTAATAACCCACTGGGCATCAAGCTATGACATAACTTAAAATATTAGTGTGTTCTTCATGTTCCCAAAACAATGATATATTCTTTGCAAAAACATTAAACTTAATATACTTATTTATCTGGGAGAGAGTGAGTCATATGTAATATTCAGAGATCCATTACTCATTGGCATCCCATATTCATAGCCAAGTGACGCAGCGCCTTACATGACAGTTTGCCACTATTGACATCGCATGGAGTTCTTAGTAAAATCATATGCATGTAATCCCAAACTATACATTACTTTAAACTGGTAAACAGTGCTTTCAGATAACACAGTATGACACAAAGAGGAGGAGTTTGGTAGTACCTTTTCAGACTAATAAATTTATTGAAAAGGCATAGGCTTTCATGAACTACTGATCACTTCACTGGATACCTGGAGCAGCTAAACTGATGTAGAATTTAAACTGGAATGAGGCAGGTGGTGGGAATGGAGGGAAAGATGAGTCATGCAGATGCCGGTTACACTTGAGACAGACTGCAAATACCTCACCAATTCACAATTGCAATGTGTTAAAAGGCCATTGTGCCTGTTGAGATCTTTCA